CCCCCGTGGGGTGGGGTGGATTTCTTCATCCGAGGTCACGGGAAGGCTAAAGCCCGAACGATCTGCTTTGGTTTCACGACGGGGGGGATCCAATGTTTGGATAGCCATCGCCTCGACTGTGCATAGAATGATAAACCGAAGGACCCCTCTGTGAAACCAAAGCAGATCGTTCGGGCTTTAGCCTTCCCGTGACCTCGGATGAAGAAATCCACCCCACCCCACGGGGGACGCACCAACGAACTAATCGAGAGGAATATCAGGTAAAGAATCTTAGTATACTTTCCGTACTTAGTTTGATGCGAGCAAAACCAGATCGATGAACCCAAATAACCGTATATAATTGTAATGGCCCGTTGATGAATCTACCGAAAACAGCTTGTTTGGCCTACCGGATATTGTTTTCAATTTGGCAACGGGCATTTTGCATTTAAAAATGAAGACCATTTGATCACAATTAGAAACTTATTTCTGAACAAAAATAGGCTCACATTCCATTTGGCGTATCCGTTACCAGGCTCATAGACAATTGCATCCAGCTAGTTAAAAAATCGTACACGCCTAAGATGAACAGTTGATTTCAAGCCCGCACTGTAAAACAAAGGCATATGGGAAAAACTTTTGTCCACATCGGGGGTAACAGTTTGATATCTTGCACTTTAAACATACCTCTCTCGATCTATTTGGACTCAATGTGACTCCACGGCCGTGATTAGATTAGTCAGCCTCACTTGTGATTTGTGATGACCGGTTTCTAAACGGTCATTCCAAAGCTCATGACTCGACCATTCTCCCTCTTTAATATTTCATCACCTCCAAATTTTTGAATAGCGACATCTGAAATCAGAATGTATGGTGATATGTATACATGCCGAACTTTATATACAGATGAACATCTGCCGATCAAACACACTATCAAAATGAGTTCGAGGTAGCTTATTTCAGTTGCTGAAATTCTCGTTCTTTTCAAGAGTCGGATGTGTTTTTCTGATTAACTCGTTTATAAACGTAATTTTTCTTATACAATGCAGTTACGTTTGTCTCGTGTTTAGCGAACTACTAAGTAAATATTTGAACTTTATGTACTCTGTTGCAATTTTTCACTGTTATCTTGATCAGATCCTCGAATCATTGGTTCATGCGGCGGATTTGGGCAATCCGACTAAACCGTTACCAATCTATCAACAATGGGTTGACCGGATAACCGAGGAGATGTTTCGTCAAGGGGATCGAGAACGAGAGGCTGGACTGGAGATCAGTCCAATGTGCGATCGACACAAGGCTTGTGTGGGTAATACACAGGTGGGTTATTGCATCCGCGTTCCGCGTATAACTTGGAAATAAAGCGCTGTAAGAGCTGAAATAGTCTCATTCAAAGGGTGGAATATCCATCAAAAGAACGCTTTCATAGCGACACCGTGCATACTGGTTTCAGTTCCTCTTCCTACTTTTCAAGCAATTCATAAGAGATTTAAAAGAATGACGGTTAGAGTACGAATTTGTCTAAGCTGCAAAAAACTAATGCAATCGTCTATTGAGGGCAACATCGTTTCTTATTGCCCAAGAAAAACTCAGTGGCAAGTGCCGTGACTTTATTGTTACCTACGCATTGTTAAGAAGTGTACTTCTGGCGTATGTGGAACCAATCCTTTTCGCGGAGAGAGTAGGGCTGCTCCCATACTGGGTGATACACTTACATCCTATCTGGGAGTCCCCGATTTTCGGGCATAGATGAACCATAGCTCTTAACTACCGAAAATTCGGCTCAAAATGTTTTGCTGATCTTTGCACACCATGAATTGTCGACTACTGCGGTTCGTCAAACCACTAGGACTCGTTTTCACTTTTTTCCAGTTAGTATCCCGTCAGAAGTCCTATACAAAGCAGCACAATCATAGAATGCTATTGTAGTCCGATAAGCGGATTCCTCGCAGTTGTTCATCAGTATTGGGATAACACGACCGTAAAACATTCATGCTTTGACCAAATCAGTGAGCTATTCCATCTCTATGGTGACCTTCACTTTTTGCATCGGCTGGGCATTTACATTTCATCAATAAATTGATTTTGCATGCCGTTATCAAAGCCGCAATGTGCGCAGATCCATCTGACAAAATTTGAAGCTGGTAAATTGTGAACAAAACAGAGAACGATCGACCAGTCTTTTTAACACACCTTTTGTCCATATTTACTACAATGTATGTAGATGTTGTTATTTCCCCATTTGTTTCATTGAATACATTAGGCTTTCAGGACAAGGGCCGCGGCCAACCGAAGGCTGTCTGGAACAATATAGAATATAGGAAAAGGGGTGCTGGTAGCGAGGTTCGAACTCAGGATCTCTAAATGGTACGTTTGACAACCTTGACACTCGACCGACGCCGAGAACGGCAAACAACAGAGGAGTCAGATCTAATAGTCACGACGATCTTCTGTTCACTCATGATGAAGGGCAAACCTGAGTCCTGGGACTCGAGGCGATGACCTGCAAAGGGCCCAATATGAACGGATGTAGTATTAGGCCAAAGTCGTCTATCAGGTAACGATTCAAAGTTTCTTTTTCCAGCTGAACTGAGGACTTATAGTCGTGATTTGTCTATTCCGTTCCAAAAACATATCGTAACATTCACTGGAGATCGAAATAGAAAAATAAGCGAACCGCGGGGATGGAGGGGCCGGGCGAAGAAGATCCTCCACAAATCGAACAATCACAAAATTCAAGTCGTCTGTATCTGATCCGCCAGCAACAAACAAAACAAGTCAGATTTCATTTCCGTTTGATGATGGGCCCACGGGTATCGTATTATATTGTATTTCAATACCTTATGCGAGCAACTATGTCCAGATTTCTGTCAACTCGAGCAACCGTATGTACACTACTCTCACTTATACCTCCGTTGGTTATCTAGAGACTAACTAACTAACTTTCAAGAATCAACACGGTGATTCTATGATGACATTTTGTTGTTTGGCTGTATCCAATGTAAGAAAAATGAAACCCAACCGGTTTCACCGGCTGCCATACAAATGAGGCTATCATGGTGAGAATTACATCAGAATTCGGAGTACAAAAGTAACTGAGCCGAGAAGGATCAGACACGCGAAACGACCGAATGAGAAGCTGCGCGAAGCCTGCCATATGGTTTGGTGAAGTTCTCTTCAGTCGTTCAGATGTTGCTTAGTAAATTAGCCAGTGCTTTTGCCTCCATTTCTTTGTTTTATGGCAAATGTAATATGAATATCCAGTCAAATGGTAGTCACGGTTGAAATGAAACTGATAATCAATAATTGGGGACGTGGGATGAGGGGAACGACGTTCGGACAGATGAGAAAATTTGCTGATGGTCTGTACAACTTAATCGTCGGTGAAAAGCTCACTGTAACCATCGAAGTTTACCAAATGAACATGCTATTAATAACGCGAATATATGGCCAGGGGAATGAGATTGTGAGAACTCGCGTGCTTTCAGTCAACGATGTGACGAATTGACAAGAAATTATTTTATTATTATTTCAGTTATTATTTTTTATTTCAACATGTAACCAATTACAGAGAGCTATCAAATGTGCCACAACTCATGAACAAAAAGATATCTGAAAAATGTGTTCATAGGTTTTGCGAGCACGTTATTTCCCGGTTGCCCTGACCGAAGAACGCGGAATAACCTCGGGGTCCCTACCCGAAGCCTTTTACTATAAAGCCAGACTTGCAAAACAACAGGATGGAGCTCAGTCTGCAGTCCATCGGGGGCCGGTGTCCAGTTCATCGAAACATTCGCCCTTTAGAGGGGGTCAAACGTCCAACGTGCCCAATACAGCTCGATA